TGCACTCACATGGGTTAGGTTGTCTACTCGAGTATGTTCCATGCTGTTAACCGTTGAAAATATGCCAAAAAAGACGAAAAGGATGATTTTTGACGTTTTCTTAAATAACAGAAGAAAGGGAATAATTGAGATGTTTTAATTTAGTTTCTTGTGAGATCAAAGGCAAGCAACTAAATAATGGTCTTCTATACTACTTCAGCATGCATAATACAAAAGTGCTCATTTTTAGAACATCTGAAATTGGGGGAAAATGCTCACAGAGTCCACTTTCTTTACCCAAATCCACACAACACAATCAATCATTCTGTAAAAAAACGATGCACTTTCTTAAAATCTTGCATTTTACAGTTTAGACATGTCCGAATTCGGTAGTGTTGAGTTCTGGCTTTGTGTTTATTTCAGCTATTAAATGCCCTTAAAATGGTTATTTCCAACAACATAGAATGTTAACTGACACATATCTTAAAAGATATCCAAGTAAACAAGTGTAATCGACATTTTAAACCGCATTGCTGTTTTTGCTTTGATCTGGATCTCATTTAACTAGTGAATATTTTCTTGGTATTGATCTTTCGATGCAGGAATAGCAGAATCTGTTGGTCCTAACGACGAACCATAGGAGTTAAACTATTCGTGTGATTGGTCTATTCCAAATGGATTTACAAGTTATGATAATCCATTTACTGTTGCCTCTTATTTGACCCTTAATTTATACGTTGTCTCCAATTAATTTGACAGGATAGAATATTAGTAACCGATCTTGACTTCCTTTTCATACACGACTTTTAAATCTGACTCGTATAGGACATAAGATCATATTAGTACTTACCACAAAAACAAATCTCAAAAAGACAAATGACACAAATTACAGATGTAAGAGTACTCGAAATTACTGAAATCAGGTTCAAATCCAAATTTCAACTGATCAACAAACAATGTTCTATAAGACTTTAATGTCAATCGGTACACTTCAAACGGATTTTGCACAACATTGAAACTTAAGTTCACAAATTAAAAAATTTTGCATATACTACACTACGTTGAATCTTACGCTCACAACTGTCAATGACATGCGTATACTTTTCGAACTTTTTTGATTTGAGCGTCACTGATGGGTCTTATGTAGACGAAACGCGCGTCTGGTGTATTAAATTATAAGCCTGGTACCTTTTTATAGCTATTATTTGTGTGTGTCTCTGTCCTGTATGTACTCCCATTTATTTGTATTGTAGTCCTGTCATGTAATCTTGTCATTTTAATGTTATATTTAACATTGCCATAAAAGCGGGAGGTTTGGCTAGCCACAAAACCAGGTTCAACCCACCATTTTATCTTAAAATGTCCTGTACCAAGTCAGGAAAATGGCCATTGTTATATTATACTAGTAGTTCGTTTCTGTGTGTGTTGCATTTTAGTTTTGTGTTTCTGTTGTGTCATTGTTCTCCTCTTACATTTGATGTGTTTCCCTCAGTTTTAGTTTGTAACCCGGATTTGTTTTTTTCTCAACCGATTTATGAATTTCGAATAGCGGTATACTACTGTTGCCTTTATTTATACATCAGACATTCAAAAGTCATCTGGAAGAAAGTATTTTACAGTTAAAAATGGGATGGAGATTTCATACTTATCATAGTCCAAGGAGAAATGTATACTATTTTTGGCGCAAGACTTTAACCCTTCTGTGCACTAATATTTTATATATTTATCCTGTTGCAGGAAGTGTTGGGCACCCCACCAAATCTCATATAAAATGAATAAATGTTTAAAATCTTTCTTCGTCAATATGATCAAAATACAGATCATGTGGTCAGCGTGACAAAGGATCTGCATCTTAATCAGATTGATTTTCATGGACTCTCATCCACGTTAACATCTCTCTTCCTGGTCTACGGTGCCAGATGAACTATTGGCATCCTTTGGCATCCACCGTCTGTAAATTTTCACAACCCCATCTTCTTCTGTGAAACCCTATTCCTTATTTATGCTTGACAAGTTTTCCGATTAATGGCTGTTACAAATGCATTGGCAAATAAAAGTAAAGTTTTTATTATGTATTCATCATTTTGTCAATTTGTTTGGACACTACTGTGAATATTTGAATACAAGCACATTTATTGACATGCCACCCTTTGTAGACTTATTTGTAGATCTTGTGTTGCCATAATCAGTTTAACTATAAAAAATAAATGGAGTAGACTAATGATTTTGTCCATATTGACTTTGTTTAAATCTTATCTGATATTTTTGCTGTTCAAATTATCTCTATGTATTCTATAATTTTCTAGATAATATAGCCAAATATGCAAAAAGGGTACAACTACTAGTATTCATTCAAGGGTAATAACATTTTTATAAGGAGTAAGAAACAATTTCTCCCATGTTATCCTATTAGTAGATGCTATTTTGCTGATCATTTTTTTTTATATTCACAATATCTCTCTTTCTGCTATATTTTCTGCAGAAATCACATAAAAATGGGTAAAAATAATCATCATTCAAGGGACTTAATTGTAGAACTTAATTTGCCGACAACTTTTGCTATATACAGTTTCTCCGTATCTACGATTAAAATCGTCCGTCAAGGATAATTACTAAACAAATAGGGAGTCAACTGACAAATCAGATTTGTTTATCAAACTTTGCCGTTAATTTTTACTTGAATTTAAAATGTTTGTCATTCTAAAATTTGTAAAACTACCTTGAAAGATAAATACCAAATTCCAGATGGTTGTGCCGGAATGTATGTTAATGCATGCATTGTTAACTGGATCTTTTGCGTAACCTTTTATTGCATTTACAAACAAGAATATGTCAATAGCTCTCACTATCATATTCCATGTTCAGTGAACCATGAAATCTGTGTGAAAACAACAATTTGGCCTATATTTATTTTAAAATTTCACATAATAAACATGTGTACTACCAAGTTTCAAGTTGATGTAACCACAATTTAATAGTAAACTGCTTTAAACTTAACTTTAACCTGAAATGGGATAGACACACAGACAGACAAAACATACTGTTCCCTATTAACGTAAAAGGGTTTACAAATCTGTTCATGGATAGAAAATAACAAATAAAGTATTCTATGTTTTATGTCATCATTCCATTTTTAAAATGAACAACTTCCATTTAAACTACGTAATAATCTGTTTACCAAAGTGACGAGTTTTGTCTTCATCTTTGAACGAATTGAGTAAAAGAAAAAAAAATGAATTTGCCATCGATAATGATTGTTCATCCTAGTATACCAGCTTAAATAAGAATTAAAGAAAATGTACAATTGTTTACAATTTAATATTATTGTAAGCAAAGAATAGGTAAACCTGTTGTCCTGTACTTTTAGATGTTGGCTTTTTCATGTAGAAAATAAAGCTAAACAGTTGAATCCCATACACACAATATTTTAAAACACCTTTTAAATATCCTACCATTGATGACATCATTGGTAGGGTACAAAAAATTTAGAACACAGGGAGTACTTATTTTGACACCAGCTTTTTAAAAGGTGAACATTACAAAGATAACACTTATCGACCCATCTCTTTATTTGTACCTGCTGCAAAATATTTTATGATCCTTTATGACTAGTTACATAATTGACTATATAGAGGCAAATAACATCCTTGATGACTTCATACTTTGTTTCTATAAAATATCATTTGATAATGGTTGTAATATGTTATTATCAAACTTGATCTGCATATCACAGCAGGCCTTACCATTGCAAAGTTTTATGGTCCTATACAAAAGTGAACTAAAGTCATCATCTAGAAAATGTTGCACCTACAGTGAAAATCAAAATAGCCCTGGATATCATGTAGATAGTGCAAAGTATTAACGACCCAAGACCAAAGAACTTTTAAGTTGTCATCCAGAAACTACTTTAACTATTGTGAGATAACACAAGAGTCAAACTTTGGAACAGTAATAGCAGCAACAATGAAAAATTGTTCCGGCCTTCATGGCAGTAAAAAATGTACAGATGTATGCACATATAATTGGACAGTAAATTAAGACGACAGTAGTTTACCATTGTTCAAATCTCGTAAATCAATTAAAATGAGACAAATCAAGGTAACAAACAAAAACTGAGGGAATCGTATGAACTCCAAATGGAACATACAAGTGCTTCGACAGGATAAGTGTCTCTTGCAGCCCTGCTATGCAAGCATCACCTGCCATGCGATTTCCACTCAGTCAAAATGTCACAATCTGGACTAGGATTATGTAGTGTCTATTTCAGTCGTTCTTCATTAAACCTATATTAAAGTAATTAACAGTGATTGATTTCCAGATTAACATAGAATACCCACACTATGAAAATTAATTTGCAAGATATTTTGTTTTAATTTCTTTAAAAAAAAAGTTCCATTACTATGCATTTTTTAGCCATTAAACTGCTGTACAGTACTGTTAATGTTATTATAAGAAAAACAATCTATCAAAAGTTAATTAGTCACTCAAGATGTTTTTGTTTCATATCAATCATATTATTCCTATTGAGCCGTATGGTGAGGTGACTTATAGTTGCTAACATCAACTTCATTTGGTCACTGGTTGATAGTTGTCTCATTAGCAATCATACCACATCTCCTAGTCTATATTGTTGAAAATTTCAAAATCAAAACTATCCTGAATTTGAAAAGTTATCATTTTGAAATTTGTAAAACTACATTGAAAGATAAATACCAAAATCCAGGTGGTTGTGGCATGTTTATGCATGTGTTGTTAAATTGTTCTTTTGCATAACTTTTTATTGCATTTACAAACAAGAGTATGTGCCAATAGCTTGCACTATCATACTCCTTGTTCAGTAAACCATAAGATCTATGGCAAAACCACAATTTGCATATATTTTAAAACGTTCACATAATAAGGAACATTAGTACGAAGTTTCAAGATTTGAGACAGACAGATGAACCAGAAAACATAATGCCCCCTATAAACATAGGCTGAGCATAACATATGTCCAGGCATAAGAAATGACAAATGAAGAATTCTATGTTGTACATGTCTGTATTTTTCCAAGTATTTATATCATTCCTTTCATGTAAACTAAATAAAAACAAACTGTTATAATAATTTTTCTAATATGCTTCAGTGATGAGTTTTGTCTACAGTTTTGAACAAAGTGATCACTGCACATTTCCTTGGTAAAAACCTCAATTAAAAAAAAAACCAAAACTTAAAAAAAAACATATATAAAGTGTGTGAACATTATAGTATATAAAAACATTGAATGTACCTGCATTTCTTATGTATTTTAATTCCTCAGTTTGAAATTCAAGCATGAACCTGTGAAAAAATGATAGCTGAAAAAAGGGTCACTAAAGTGAATAAATTGGCTCATATAGAAATATAGCAAATTAAAATGTAACATTTCATTTAAATATTTCAAAAATAAATCAACACTAATTTTTTATTTTCAAACAGTAAACTAAACCTATTAATTATAACAAAATATTTCACTTAATAACTGTACCTGTGACATTGATATGTTGTTGCATAATCATGATAATATGTAACTTAAAACTTATAACTTAAAATTTTCACATCAAAACATTTCATTGCTAATTAATTATAATATTTTTTCCTTTCCAGAAATATGAAATAAATCAAACATATTTAATTAAACCTTTCATATTACATTCAAATTTTTCAAAAACTAAACTTTCATTGACTTAAGTACACCTCTATAAATTAATCCTTAACTACAATATGATGTAGTATCAAACATGTCAAATGTATTTAAGGGTAAATATGGTTGTAGGGAAATAATACTGTCTCTAACAAGAAGCTCCAGGGAGCCCAAACTGCTCAAATGGCAAAAGTATGGTGTTTTTTCTTGAATATCAAATTCACTTGTTCAAGATAATTTTTGTTTAAACATACAGCTTTTCTAGACCAATTATATTTTTCTACAGTGACAGGATCACATTTTTTATTTACTTTAGAGATCAGGAATTTTATTTTGCAATTCAACATCTTCCAACTAAGACCTCCAACCAATAACAAAAAATAAACCTAAAAGGGATGAGGATGAATGACACAAGATACTAAGTGACAGAGCAGGTAAAACAAATCATATCTTTTTACTTAAATCATAATACATAATATTATAATAAGAAGCCCATTGAAATCCATGATTGAGTAATATGATACACATATTAAAATCAACTTAATTCATGCACTATACCAAATTATTAGTTTTTACTACAAAATTGTTTCATTATTTATTTTATCTTCAACTATTTCACTTTGTCTCTTCTGTTTTATTTCAAAAATAATATTTGTCTTTTAAGAAAAGTCAATTCACACTCACACACACACACAAACCCCAAAACCCAGCACCTAATTGGTGAACATATTTAGCTTTATAAACTTAATAACAGTCTCTTTTAGAATATCTGATATATGAGTATTCATGTGTTGTTTTAAAATATCTGATATATGAGTATTCATGTGTTCTATTTTAAAATATCTGATATATGAGTATTCATGTGTTCTGACACTAGGTTTTTGTTTACAAATCTAAGTGCTGTCATGCACTTCTAAAAATTAAAAAAAAATTAAGGGAAATTTTCATGAGTTCCCCTCCCCGAAATTATGCTACTTAATTCTGATTTTCCTGATAAGGGCTATTCCATTAAAAAGGAGGTACTAGGGTCGGAAGGCAATTTTTAAGTACCCCCATGACCAAGAGGAATGTACCATGTATCTTAACACCAACCAACAGGAAGTCGTTTCATAATAAAACAAGAACCAACTGGAATATATTTAACTTATTTTATTCTAATTTACCACAACCAAAGGGATTGTTATTTAAACATTATAGTTGCTGGACAATTTAGAGGGGGTGGACAGGGTTCAGGGAACCTGGGAATGAGGGGGAGGGAACTGGGAGGTTTGTTTTTTTTTTTGGGGGGGGGGGGGGGGGGGGGTTGGGGGGTTGGAGGGAAGAAATAAGATCAAACTTCATTGTGTTTTAAATCTTAAATATGAAAAACATAATTTGGTCACCAGGGTTTGAAACATTTCAAATCTTATAAAAATCACTAATGAAAATTAGAACTGTGGTTTATAGAACTGCAAATGGATTGTTCTGTTAACTTAATATATGTTGGCCACGTTTGCTTCCAATTGGTGTTGTTGGCTCAGAGATGTTTGAAAAAAGTTTACGATGACGCAGACAAAGGATACGAAGAATCAACAAGTGAAACTGCGAGCTACTGCTCACTGATGATACCCCCAACCAAGAAATTACCTCTTGCAATTGTAGTTATGTATACTCTATAAAAACATCTACATGTAATATCAACATTTATTAATGATAAAGAAAATTACTGTCACATAATTTTTATTGGATTTTGACATGAAAATTTGTGAACTAAAAGTTATTTTGAGTTTCTGTATATTAAAAATATTTCATGCTTTTTCTTTCTTTTCCGTATATCTTTTGGTTTTCAATTCTAGTGTTTATATTTCATCATCATAGATGTATTTTATCACCTGCCTGGAATTATTTTTTTTTTTATTGTATTTGATCCGCAAACCCGGAATTACCCTTATCCGATCCCGGAATCTTATCCGGTATTGTAATCGTCTTCATTTCCGGTTTAGGGCATCCATTGTTTTTCAGTGTTATCTTTGACTGGAGATACGATTTTACTCGTATTTACACATAACTTGTTGGCGATTTTCAGTATAAAGCTAGCGGTTGAACAAAATGAGCATCGCTGTCATGAATAATAAAGATAAAAATAAATTTTGAGATCGTTTGGAATTTTTGGTCTCAAATTGAAAATTGGGGAAAACGTAGGGTATTTGCCATTGCCAATAGGAATGGGTCCGGTATTTGGAGCCTGTGGAATGCTAGCCTAGCTAGTAACCAAAACAAAAGTCCGATTGCAATAGTGGAAGGTCGCGGACCTCGGACCACCGCTAATTTGAACCTCCGAATATTATTTTCAATAGAATTTGACATCTTTCGTCATGAGCTTGTCATTAAAGGAAAGTAACTCTTGCACTTCCGGAACTGGTACCTTAGGTAGAATACAACGTTGCGCCTGCCGCTGCGTAAGTCGCAGGAACAGTTATGTTTTCCAAAATATCACGATAAGAGCAGGAGACAAAAACAATCGGTTATATAAGTCCTTGCAAAACAAATAATAATAAAAAACGAAAAGTAACACAATGAAACCGACAGTCACGAAAACTGACTGTCAAAGAAGACCAACAACCAACAATACTTAGTTTCTCAAAACACCAAGGGCCACTGGCCATGAACGCTTCAACACATCAACAACCAACGGGATTTTTTTATAATTGCCATCCGACCCTGGTACATTCTTTTTAATGAAATAGCACTAATCTAACTCATGAGGTGAAACCTTCATACAAATTTGAAGAGGATTTGATGCAAATTAAGGTGCTATCCAGGTGACAAGAAATACAACAGGGATATCCCTCCAAAAAATGGCATGGCAACTAAAATAACATGAGCTATTTATACATTCTTCCCTCCCGAAAAATTGAAAAAAGGTCTCCTATTTAAAATTTTCTGATTTTCAAAATTATTCTGGGTTGTGATAAAGGAAGACTTCATGCAGATTTGAAGAGGAAACAAAATATATTATGGGTTATTTTTTAAAACCCTCTATGGAAAATGGTCTCCCATTTAAGACCTTTATGATTGTTGAATTTCTTCTTTTGTTCTCTATGGAGTGGAAACTTCACCCAAAATTGTAGAGGACATTACAAAAATTTAAGATGCTAGCATTGCAACAAGAAATAATATGGGCATTATTTACAAGTCCCCTTCCCCAAAAAAATGGTATTCCATTACAAATTTTTTCTGGTTATCTGACAAATCATAATTTTGATGACTGGAAACCTTCATCCAAATTTGAAAAGGATTTGACAAAAGAATGAAGGTGCTAACACAATGACAACAAAGTGGTGGCTGACAGACTGAAGAATGGGTCAAAAACATTACTGTATATCCTCAACTGTGTGGTGTAAATTATAAACATGTATGTCATATTTCAAAAGCTTACCATGAAGACCAATGCATATCTGTAATAACATAAATGATTTATTTACACTGCTGTGGCCTTTTTAATCTTTTCACTAACCAGCAATACAACTTTGAATTTCAATATATGACTGAAGAACTATTGCCTATATAGTCATATTTAAGAAGTGTTTCCTTGTTGATACATGTATATACTTCAAAATGTTACATTACATTCCTTGAGAAAATTGAAATAGACCATGTCAGTAATAAAATAACTAGCTCCTCACAATGCTGTATTGATAAACAATAAAATAATCCTAAACCCTTAGCCAGCATCCATGCCATTATTTTGAATACACATCAACAAAGCTAACTGCATGTCTAGTCTGTCTGTTGTATTAGTGTCACATATCTTCCTAACATGGTCCTCAAACTTCAACAAATATTTCTTCATATTTCGTAATATTTTGACTTCTGAGTTATTTAGTTTGTCTTTCTCATCTGCAGCACTGTCAGTGTAGTTTTCCTTATCATTGTAAGTAGACATGGTTGTTGTCTTTGTAGCAGTTATATATGAACTGATCAGGAAGGATACAAGTGACACATACTTAACACAGTCTTCAACAGAACAACATCTGACCTTTTGTCCTTGACCTAAAACTTGTTCATAAAGATGACTACCAGGTACTTGTCCCTGGCTACTTTCTGAAAAAGGAAAAAAACATCAGTTTTTCATAATTCCATTGATTAATTTATGTGATATTTGAAAATTTAAATATATAAGATTTCTTATATACTGGACCTAGAATAATTCCAAGAAAAATAGAACTTTTATGGTAGTTTGGATTGTTAAAATATCAATTATTATTGTTATCTAACATTTACATACATTTTTAGTTATGTTACTAGTGTCAACCAAGTGATTGGTGCTATTCCCATGTACCTGGTAAACTAGTGACCACCAAGTGATAAAATCTTACTTTATCCATGTACCTTGCAACTTGTGACTACTAATGCTTACATGTACCTGTGATTTTTCTACATACCATATACACTTGAGATATCAAATTAGTCAATTCTTTAATTTCTCAACCTTAAGAACTAATGGCACACAAGTAATAGAAATATAGTGATTTTTCTACATACCTTGTGAACTAGTGACTGCAGAATGATCATCGGAGTAAGACAATAATAAATCCCTCATATCATCATCTTCAGACATTTCAATAGGTGTATATCCCATCACTGTTTTTTGTTTTAAGAGAACACCACCTAAAATGTTTCAATGAATATAGAATTTAATAATTGTACAATGCATAACTAAACCTTCAACAAGTAAAGAAACCTAGTTTAATGTCTTAGTACAAAATATATAAATTTAAAAAAAAAAACAACCACCTATGTATGAAGGATCCTATGTATCAACCACCTCCAGCTTGTTCTGAATTAATTAAATCCTAGTGATCCTATGTATCATCATTCCCCCACCTTGTGCTCAACTCCACTATCATAGTAGAAATCTTCATGCTGTTTGCTGGTTGCCATTTTTTTCAGAATTTAAATGCATCAATTTTTTTCCTTGGATAAATTGACCTATTTAACAATATCTGCACCTTTCACTTTAACACTGTTGTTTAACAAAACTATTCACTTATATTATTTTATCGTGAAATGAGCCAAATTAATTTCAAATATTAAAACTTTACTCCCATCAGTGCCATATATAATAGAAAAGAAAGAATATGGGGTATCCATCCATGACACAAAATCAGTACATGCACAGCAAAAAGTAACAGCGCTTTTATTGCTGTTCTTCATCTCAAAGTCACAGTGAGGCCTTCAACACAGAGCAAAGAAAACTCTCACCTCACTGCAAGTTTAAGACAGCCCCTAGCACCAGTTTGAGCAGAATTCTTTGCAAACTGACAATCATACCACAATTGTGTATTGAAGGACAAAGCCATGGAGTCATATCAATAAAATAAATCTGGCATAAGTTTGTCAGAACATTGGGGAATTTTGTTTTTCAAAGTCAACTTTATGAAATAAACTATTTAATAAATAAATGGAGAATGTGTCACACTATGGGCCACAGATGCCCCCACTTGTAAATATGCATGAGTCAACTTCCACATATAGATGCAGGATTCACGTAGTTACTACCGTTTTGTGATTATAAGCAATGTGTATAAGTTTCATAACATTTGGTTGAGGCAAAAAAAAGTTAGAGAACGGAAACGACAAAGTTAGCAATTTTGCCATTTATAAAGTACATAATTCAAGAACAGTAAAAGTGACGCCATCAAATTTCGATCATGATCTGTGTTTTATGGTAATAAGCATTATGTATAAGTTTCATAACATTTGGTTGAGGCAAAATAAAGTTAGAGGACGGAAACGAAAAAAGTTAAGCAATTTTTATGTTTATAATGGGGCCTAACTCATGAACGGTATAAGTGACACCACCCAATTTCGAACCTTATCTGTGTTTTGTGGTAATAAATATTGTGTATAAGTTTTATAACATTTATTTGAGGCAAACTAAAGTTAAAACGAAAAATTCAGCAATTTTTATGTTTATAATGGGGCATAACTCATGAACGGTATAAGTGACACCACCCAATTTCGAACCTTATCTGTGTTTTGTGGTAATAAATATTGTGTATAAGTTTTATAACATTTATTTGAGGCAAACTAAAGTTAAAACGAAAAATTCAGCAATTTTTATGTTTATAATGGGGCATAACTCATGAACGGTATAAGTGACACCACCCAATTTCGAACCTTATCTGTGTTTTGTGGTAATAAATATTGTGTATAAGTTTTATAACATTTATTTGAGGCAAACTAAAGTTAAAACGAAAAATTCAGCAATTTTTATGTTTATAATGGGGCATAACTCATGAACGGTAAAAGTGACGCCACCCAATTTTGATCTTGATCTGTGTTTTGTGGTAATAATGGAAACCAATTTTGGGGACATACACAACTGACAGACAAGGGTTACACTTAATGCCCCCTCCATTAAGGTGGGGGCATCAAAATCATCATATCAAACTGCAATGCAGGCTTTTTAGAAGACATCTTATTTCACATTTGACCCTTTAGTAATATTATAAACCAGCATGATCATCTGTTAAATAACTCTTCAGATCTGTAGGATTTCCTAGACCATTTCTGTCATTGTTCAAATAAATCAACTAAAACAAACTGACTACTTGCCTGCATGCTGTAGCAGTAACTGGCAGATGTCCTTCCTGTTATTTAGTACAGCATCATGTAATGGTGTTATCCCTTCATCATTCCCAATCAGTAAATCAGCCTTCTTACACCTGGGGCCACCTATAAAAAACATACATGTAATAACCAATGAAATCAAACCACCTGATAAATAAATCCTTAAAATAGTTAGATACTGAAGCCAATTTGATAGTATTTCTCCCCTTTGTCACCTAGAACCATCTGTTAAAAATTGTAGGTTTTCCCTGATGATCAGAACATAACATTAATTTGAATTGGCAGTGAACTTATTTTGGAATGAGTGCTTTATTATAATGACAAATGGCCATTTTGAAATGATTGCTTTATTATAATGACAAATGGCCATTTTGAAATGATTGCTTTATTATAATGACAAATGGCCACTTCCAAATAAGTAGATAACAGACAAACAGATGAAAATGTTTTGTGAACCATTTTTGTCTGTTTTCTATTGGTGATGGTGTTGTCAGTACTGTTCAAGACTTATGGTTTTTTATTGTTCTCTTGATATCTTCCCCTTTCTTTGTTATTTCCTCCCAAGAGGAGTATAATAATTACCTGTACTAAAGTAATGATCTACTGTTTTAGCTGGTACAAAATGTAATAATTCTTCAACACACTGTACTCTACCATGGTTACAGGCCTCGTGCATAGGTGTCCATCCTGCATTGTCCTGAATATTTACATCTACACCTACAAGAATCACATTGTCAATTTTTTCATTCATCTCAAAATGTAAGATACAAATAGCTATAAATAGAATAAAAGCCTGTTTTTTCAGTAAACAGAATTGAAAGAAGACTCTCATGTCTAATTAAAACATTCATTGGATAATCCACATTACATTACTTAGATTCTGAAGTATCTTTAGTGCTTAAATAAATCAGCATTTCCCTGTTTACATACATCAGTCTTTAACAAGTATGACAGAGTGTTTAACTCCCTCCAAGTCAATACAAATATGGTACGGTACATTCAATTTACCATGGGATAGATTTGTCAGGTACTGGCTGAAGATAAATGGTTTACCCTGGCATAGGCACCTAGGTTTTTCAACCAACAAAGGAATCATTCTCATAAAATGAAAACGGCATTGAAATAAAAAAAAATGGGGAATGTGTCCATGGGACACAGATGATGCCCCCGCTTGCATATCATATAAAGTTATAAAGGGACATAACTGAAGAACGGTAAAAGTGACGCTACCCAAATTTGTACTTGATTTGTTTTGTGGTTATAAGTATTGTGTATAAGTTTCATAACATTTGGTTGAGGCAAACTAAGTAAGAGAACGAAACAAAAAATTCCTCAATTTTTCCATTTGTAAAGGGGCATAACTCTAACACAGTAAAAGTGGCACCACCAAAATCAAACTTGATCTGTATTTTATGGTAATAAGCATTGTGTGTAAGTTTCATAACATTTGGTTGAGGCAAACTAAAGTTAGAGAACGGAAACGAAAAATTCAGCAATTTTTCTATTTGTAAAGGGGCATAACTCTAGAACGGTTAAAGTGAGGCCACCAAAATTCAAACTTGATCTGTGTTTTGTGGTAATAAGCATTGTGTATGAGTTTCATAACATTTGATTGAGGCAAACTAAAGTTAGAGAACGGAAACCAACTTTGGGACGTACGGACTTACAGACGGACAAGGGTAAAACTTAATGCCCCATCCGCTACGGCGGGGCATAAAAATAATTTCAATTTCAGAAATATTGAGAGATTCCAACCCAGGGTTTAAATTTTTTTTCACCAGCCAGACATTTATTTTCAGTCTGTTTTTATTTTGATTTCTTGTGCTTTCATAGCTATAGGCCTTCAAGCCAATCCACTGTGGGATCAAGGGCAAGGCATTTCGTTACAACAAATGAAATGATTGATTCAAAATGATCACTTCAGACTTTGATCACTTAAACATACTTATGTTCAACCCTCGTCTATTAAGTTGTAGATGTATACCTCCCAATTCTCATTAAGGAATATTTACCTGGAACTTTCAACAGCTGCTTCAACTTTAGAACATCATTCTTTATACAGGCAGCATGTAATGGAGCTTCTCCTGAAATAATATAACTAACATTACTAACATTTCATATGATGCAAAGATTGAAATACTAAGGATAAAGTCTGAACTATAATAAAATAAACAAGAGAGCACACGCTGAAATGTCTCACCTGCTTTACTATTCATGATTGATTTAATGCTGAAAGTCTTAGAAAAAAAGCTTTTATTACAAGTATCACATAAACTTAACATTATCAATGACCAATGACAATAACCCTGACAGACGGAGGTGTACACCTTACAATCATTCCATACACCAAATATAGTTAACATTTGCTTAAAGTATCAAAGAAACAAACCAAACCATGAAAACTTAACATGACAGACATTGACCCATGAACCATGAAAATGAGGTCAAGGTCAGATGATACATTGCAGACAGACATGTATACCTTATTATCATTCCTTGCACCAATCACAGTTAACCTTTTGCTTATAATATCTAAGAAAAAAAATTAACCCAGAAAATAAAATATTGACCAATGAACCATGAAAATGAGCTCAAGGTCAGATGAAATATACCAGACATACATGTTCACCTTATTCCATGCACCAAATATAGTTGACCTATTGCTTATAATATCTAAGGAACAGACTTAACTTGGAATAATAAACATTGACCAATGAACTATGAAAATAAGGTAAAGACAGACATTTGAACTTACAATCATTCCATACACCAAATATAGTTGACCTATTACTTATAGTATCTGAGAAGTGAACCAAACTACAGAAACTGAACATTGACCAATGAACCATGAAAATGAGGTTGAGGACAGATGATACCTGCCAGATAAACATGTAGACCTTATAATCATTCCATACACCAAAGATAGTTGATCTATTGCCCATAATATTTGAAAAAAGATAAAAACGCAAAAACTTATCATTGACCGATAAACCATGAAAATGAGGTCAAGGTTAGTTGAAACCTGCCAAACTGACATGTAAACCTTACAATCATTCCATTCACTACATATAGTTGACTTACTGCTTATAGTATCCGAGAAACGGACCTTATCATGTAACTTTTAACCTTGATCTTTGATCCATGAAATAAGGTCCAGGTCAGATGAACCCTGTTAGACAGAGATGTAGACGTTGTGAGGAACCCATATACCAAATATAGTTATCTTATTACTCATAAGATGTTAGAAATTCACATGTCAAAAAAAACTATAATTTTTTTCAAGCAGTTGCTGAACCATGAAAATGAGGTCAAGGACAATGGACCAACGAATGATGTTAACTTCGTAACAAAAGGTATCTGTTTTATACAAATAGTTTATGCTGCTGTTGGTTAGTAATTCCTATGTCTCGCATACTGTGACTTTTTTTGCAGGTGAAACAAAATGTAATAGAACAATGCACTGATATGATCTAAAAGATTCATTACAAAAGATAAGGAGACTGACTACAATAACAAATTTGTTTCTGTTAAATCTTCTGTAAATTGCATTTTAAGGAAAGAAATCATTAAAAATATCTGCTGGATATATAATATGTATATTGCTACCTTTGAAATTCTTTTTATTTATATTCTTCATAAGCCTATTTATTCTCCTTTCAGGTGTATTACTTGTTGATGATGCTGGAGATAGTGGAACTACTTTCTGTGGAGTTGACAGTAGTGACATTCTCTGTGACATTGATGGAGACTGAGGTGTGGAAGGTCGAGATGTTGATATTCTACAAGCATAAAAAATTCAATATTCAACAAAGTTTAAAGACAATAAACTATATAAAATATAAATCATTTTAATTCTGATTTTGGAAAAGGTTTCCCATATCAGGTCATCCCACTTTCATTATGCTCACACAATACTTCAGACATAGATTATATCCTCAGAACTTGCCTTGCGGTTCACTATGGTAAGATCACTTGATCCTATTTGAAGATCATGTGGAAACAGGCCTCTGGAATAAAATGTTTAATGGATGCATCTATTTATCTGATTCAACCTCAAAATATCTTCTTCATATTCTTTAAATATCAACAAAAGTAAATGCATGCAACAAGAATAACTTGAAATAAATGGTTTAATGGATGAATACCAAGGGACAATCTCTCAACATTATTCAAAGGAATAAAAGTTAATGATATATGAGTAAAATCGTCTTGTGTTAGAACAACACTCAAAGGATAACAAGCAGTCTGCAGGAAAACGTCATCTCAATCAGACAAATAAGCTTCATAGCAAAAAGCCTATCCTGTCTTTTTTTAAACGCTGAAGCAGGGAACACCACTGAAACAGTCTTTGGTTTGACCAAGCCAGAAATTGAACCCATAACATCCCACAATCAAGGTGATCACACCAATAATCACACCATAATAAATTGTCAACCTACCTTTTCTTGTGTGGACTTCTGATTAAAGGCTGAGAATTTATACGTGGCAACAAGTAAATATATTTAGATACCTGAAAAAAAAGTTTAGCATAAATGAACTTTCCAGGTATAGCAAAAGCAATTTAAATCTATAACAATCAATGTTTTGTTTTTAGTTCTGGTGTTCTGTATCTGTAAGAAAAATATGAGGAACACAGAGAAAGCAAGTTGATTCTGGAAAAACTGCAGAAAACTTACATAATTGATTAATAAAATCATTCTGGTAATATGCACACACATTACATGTATGTTAAATTTTGCAACTTAAAATAATCTAGCTAGGTAACCTAAGGAGTTGAGCAGATAAAGTATGTATAATTCAGTGAGTTATAAAAATTTCAACATCCTTTCATTCTGTTCATATTCACTTATAGAGAAATCCTGATAAAATGCATATCTTTAAAGTATAAGCATAAATATGGATATCTTATAAAACGAAAAGTGTAGGAAAATTGAGCATACCTACAGTGCAATATACTGCAAAATTAAAAGTATCAACTATAAAGTTAAACTTTTTGTGATTTCTAAAGTAATTCAAGAAAATCATAATCATGACAACATGCGTACCTCTAGTACATGTTTAACATTCCACAAAATAAAAACCCTCTTTCCTGGAAACTATGGAAGGAGTTGAACAGTGAACTGTATATTCATTTATGAACAAAAATTAACTAAAATCAAAATCAGGAAAATAATCAACAATATATAACATTAGAATTACTAACAGATACCCTTGCTATGGGTAGTACTTCAGCAAGAACTTTGCCAAAAAGTATTTAAATAGTAGTTCTTCAACAAAAACTCTGCCAAAAAGTTATTCAATACATTAAGAGAATGACATACTATATCTTTAAGTGATATCCTTTCTTTGGGTAGTCCTTCTACAAGAAGATAATCATCGTACTCTGCCAACAAATAACTACAAACACCAAGACAAAACCAGGACGGTTGTAAAGTCATTAATACTTCCTTTAACAAACATTCATCTAAGCTGTTATCTGAAAATCAATAATCTACAGTACTAAAAAATATCCATAATTAACTAAATAATTGTTCTAACAGTTGTGTGTTCAACCAAAAAAGTTTTCAGATCTAGTCTTAAAATTGTGATAATAAAACAGTTTAAAAGGGATCCACCTTTGATTATGATTATAATTATTTTCATCCTTGGAATTTGACAGACCTATACTTGTATTGAACAGGTACATTTACAGCTAAGCATTGTACAACAGTAAGCCCCTAACCTCATTTTTTTTATGAGGAACTAAAACTTAGTTTGCTCTTAATATAAATATTGTAATAACTGAATGCTTGATCTAAACTACTAATATTGTGTTTGATTACACTATTCATTGGGTAGAAATATTCTTTAGAACAAAAATCTTACTTATAACTTTTGTAACTTCATGTAGAAATGTGGAAACTGTTTTTCCAAATATAGCTGTACTGACAGACTGTTGTGACATGTTGTTTTCAATAAGGTAACACAGATTCATTGCCATGCTAAATATACTCATCAACAACTTCAGTAAGTCAGACTGAAAAATAGAAAAATAATCACAGATTATAACATAGATCATATCAAGCCTGACTCACAAAATCATATTTTCATGTTTAGTGAACCATGAATATGGGCCAAAACCCTAATTTGGCATACATATTGGGTAGTTCACTTCACAATGAACATATGTACCTAGTTTTAAATTAATATAACCACAAACTACCTCACATCAAAATTTTAAACTGATACATGTTAGCTGGACACACAGACCAGAAAACACAATCCTGCTTGTAAACATGGCATAAAAATAATGTATATATGTATATATAAACAAGAAGCTGTCAAATTGACAGGAAACAGGATTTCCTGCATGAAAATGATATTTGCAAACCTGGATCCCCAAACAATATCAAGTAAAAAAAATAAACGATTTTTTTTGTAGAGATCAGAAATGGAAAAGCCAAAATCAATCTAAGTATCACTTTTCACTACTTAAAGGCCTAAAACTCAACAACGATAAAAGCTATAAACTGTTGACATAGAGATATGTCGTGCCTGTCAGCATAAAATTCAGAAAAGACAATCTGATGGACAGCAACATGGTTTATTCATTCAGTCGCTGGACCATTATCTAGTGGACAGGGCCTGAAAACAATCGTCCAACTGATATGTAAAATATGACTGAAGCAGAAAAACTTAACATTGAAAATTGCAATTTAATTCAAAGTCACTGGACCATGACAAAGGGGCAGGGCCTCGAAATAGTCTTCAAACTGATATGAACTGATAGTAATGGAACTTCATACAAAACATCATTGATCTATCACAAGTAGATCCTATCAAACTAACTAAAGCAGAAAACTTAACATTGAAAATTGCTCATTAATTCAAAGTCACTGGACCATGACCTAGGAGGCAGGGCCTCAAAATGGTTATCAAAAACTGATATGTACTGATAGTAATGCAACATTAAATATCAATGATCTATCACAAGTAGTTCCTATCAAACTAACTAAAGCATAAAACTTAACAATTGTTGACGCCATCGCCACAGCCGCAGCCGGAAAAGCAATCTCTATGTCTTGCTTTCTGCGAAAAATCGTGAAAATCGAACTTGACCTTCATTTAGTCACAGGAAACAACATATATAAATTTGAAAAGATTTCGTCAAAGCGTTTTCAAATTCTTGCACAGACAATGCTCTAAGTATCACTTTTCGCTACTTAAAGGTCTACAACTCAAAAACGATAAAAGCTGAAATCTTGAAAATCGAGTTTGACCTTCATTTAGTTGCAGGAAACAACATATATAAATTTGAAAAGATTTCCTCAAAGCATTTTCAAGTTATTGAACAGACACTGTTTGGCAGCCGCCCGCGTTGCCGCCCAGCTGCTGGCCCTCCCGCCGTACATCACCAAACTGATAACCGATATTTTCCTTTGGAAAGCCAGTTAAAAATTACAAATGCATCCAATGATGTGCATTCTTTCCTTTATGTTTAAGAATACTGAAAAATAGTCCTTAGTCTTTATATTTTGAATTGATAAATTTGATATTAATGCTAATTTCATTTACCAGTATTACAAAGTGTGGGAAGAAATTTCTTACCTACTGTAAACTCAGAAATTATTGCGATGTTTTTATTATTGCGAAAAATGCGACAGCATTATAATCGCAATAATTTAAACTCGCATTTTGAAATTTTTTTATATAAATTAAACAGGATTTTTCTCAATATGGCAAAAATTAAAATCGCATTTTAGTCTAAAATGACAAAATCGCAATAATAAATGCACGCAATAATTTCTGAATTTACAGTATATAAAATGTGTGCTTATAACAATTTGTTTCTACTTTTATATAAATGCTGATTAAGAAAACAAGAAAGCATTTAGGTAATGACTTTGTTGTAATTAATAACACATTTTACTGCTAACACCAACGTTTGTTACAAACCTTATCTCCTGGTGGGATTTCAGATGTGATAACTTCTTCTACAAATCCCAATAGATCTCGACATCTACTGTTGAAGAATATCTGATTGAGTGATGACCATAAGAGCTGACCTAACATGGAAGATCTTAACTTCTGTATACTTCCTGGACTGTCTTTGTACCTGTAATAACATATATATTTCCTGTCAAGGGATCTAACATATACCTTGATCTGCTATATAGTTGTTTTTTTGAAAGTTTGTACTGTTTCTGTATTTTGCGGTGAGATTGTCCGTCAGTTAATGATTTTTCTTGTTGGACTTCTTTGCCTAATGGATAGTTTATATAATATACCATTACAGCAATGCAGATCAAGCAGAACGTTTGCAGGCTGCTACTACAGCTAATAAAATAATACAAGGTTTAAACTAGAGGTACTGTTACAAAAAGTTTCACAAAATTCTGTTAAGGTCTAGGTATTCATTTTCTTTCTACTTCATCAATCCACCATCAATACAGTACATACCTCTGTATAACAAATGAATAATTCTGCTCTAAAACAGCTACCAGGTACCTTAAAAGGTGAATACCATTACTTCTAGGAACATCACCATGGACTGTATCACTGAATAAACATTAAATTTCAATACTTTTTGAACACATAAGGATGTCTTTTCTGAAGTGATATTAAGCAAATGGAACAATGGAACCCAAAGGAAACTTTGGATAGTCAAATTGACTAAAATTAAAATCGAATGTGGAGGGACTTCGGAAAAAAAACCTTCCTTCCCCCATACAATTATTTTTGGAATAAACATAAGTTATAATAAAATAAAGCCTTTCACTAAACTTAATAACAAAATATTAAACAGTGCCAGCAAAACTGGAAGACCAGCTGGTCGAATTAATTGGAGAGAAAATATCTACCTACATTGTTGCTAATGGCATTAATGCATTTAATGTGAATAAAAGGAGATAATATAATGGTGTGCAATTATACTGATACAAAATAAATTTAAACTAAACATTTTCTATAAAACATATTTGAAGGAATGTACAAGACTAAATAAATCGAAAAACATTTAGGAATTGGACTACTTGTCTGCATAGTGCTTGATTTCATGCAATATTCATTGTTCAGGCAATTTTATCAATATTATTACAAGAAAGGAACTCTTATCATAATGCTAATAACTAAGACAATAATTATACCTGATAACATTTTTTATAAAAGTCCAGTCCTGACCTTCTCCATATTCATTAGTTTTGCTGTACACCAATGATTCATTATACATGTTGATAGCAACTTGTGAGATAGGTGGGTGTAACTGTAGTACCTTCATCAGTGCACAGTATGTCCGCTGAGCTACTAAATCCATGGTTTTCTGTCCCTGTAATAATATTTAGGTCACATTCATGTACTCCCTCATTCTACACAGGTGCATATTGGCAATCTTAAAACTACATGAAATTGTGTATGTTGCATTACAGCAATTGTTGGTTTCAAATGCTCCTGTATTCATTAATCTCCAACTACAGGTCTTCATTATGAATTAAAAGAGATCAGGAGCCTGTAGTTCAGTCTAGTTGTTAGCTGCTGCTATTTGTTTTTTGTTTACCGGGGTATTATTAATGTAAATCAGACTGTTGGTTTTCTTAGTTGACTTGTTTCACATTTTGTCATGAGTTTGGCATGGCTTTTGCTCGTTGTTGAAAAGTCATAGGGTGACTTCTAATTGCTTACATCCACATTATTTGGTCTTTGGTGAATAGTTATCTCTATGGCAATCATACCAAATCTCCTTTATATTTATACATAGATGTTTATTTCAAAATACTTTTCTACATAAGGAAATGCCTGTACCAAGTCAGGAATATGACAGTTGTTTTCCATTCGTTTGATGTGTTTGAGCTTTTGATTTTTGACTTTCCGTTTTGAATTTTCCTTGGAGTTCGGTATTTTTGTTATTTTACTTTTCACCATAAGCCTGTCAATTTAACCAGACAACACACATATTATAATCTGAATCTTTTCACTTTGGTTTTTTTTTTTGTGTACATGAAAGCAAAATCTAAATTTTAAACAATTCACACCCTACAGCATGATTCAGACAGCCCATAACATTGTCTCAGTCTATTTCCTTTAATTCATATCTATGTATCTTTAGGTCAACATCTGTATTACTGATTTTGGCACTTAAAAATATGGGTATCCCTTATAATAATTACATACCATTAATATTTGGTTCATTAAAAGATGTAAAGTAGTAGAATTGGGATATTTTTTTGCAGTTACACTTGACTTGAACACTTCCAAACCGGCAAACAGGAAGCGCATTCCACATGTTTCGTCTAAACAGGTATGTATAATATTGGTAAGACCTGTGGAGAACTGGAAAGGAGTCTCTTCTACCTGTAATACAGAAAAAAAATACAAAAAATCAAGTAGGTATAACTTAATCAAATGTATACAGTACAGTCAAACCTGCTTTTGATGTCACCTCTATTAAGTGAAAACCTATCTTATCCAGTCACCCTCTTTTTTGTCCCACTGTAGTAATAACTATGCATTTTGAACCTCAATTCAAAGGTCATCTCTCTTATAAGGTCACTTTTCTCTAGTCCCATTGGTGACCAAAAAGATACAGGTTTGATTGTATTTCACAACATATTACTGTAAATCTGGTTGGGAATGAAATCTAACACCACTATTAAATTTGTATCAATAACTTTAATACCAGTGTTCCAGAAAGAGATATATTATCCTTACATCTAACTGCATTTGCACTTTGAAGTCTTGTAATTAGAGGCTATAGCTATCTTACCATTTGTTCAACTTCCATATCTTCTTCTGATAAAAATAAATTAAGGGTACCAACAACAGGGCACCAGTGATACTTGTCATCATATACCTGTAAAACAAAACATGACTTTGTATCAAATTTTATTTTCTATGTATTCACATGTCAGTTAACTGCTAGTAGTCTGTTGTTATTTATGTATTATTGTCATTTTGTTTATTTTCTTTGGTTACATCTTCTGACATCAGACTCGGACTTCTCTTGAACTGAATTTTAATGTGCGTATTGTTATGCGTTTACTTTTCTACATTGGCTAGAGGTATAGGGGGAGGGTTGAGATCTCATAAACATGTTTAACCCCGCCGCATTTTTGCGCCTGTCCCAAGTCAGGAGCCTCTAGCCTTTGTCAGTCTTGTATTATTTTTAATTTTAGTTTCTTGTGTACAATTTGGAGTTTAGTATGGCGTTCATTATCACTGAACTAGTATATATATTTGTTTAGGGGCCAGCTGAAGGACGCCTCCGGGTGCGGGAATTTCTCGCTGCATTGAAGACCTGTTGGTGACCTTCTGCTGTTGTCTGTTCTATGGTCGGGTTGTTGTCTCTTTGACACATTCCCCATTTCCATTCTCAATTTTACATACTTTTATTTGCATAAAACAAAATTTTCAGTAGGGTAACAAAGTTTATTTCTGTGTCGTTTGGTCTCTTGTGGAGAGTTGTCTCATTGGCACTCATACTGCATCTTCTTTTTTATATGAAAGCCTCTTTCAACTGATTTTTATAGTTCGTTCTTATGTTGTACTGTTACACCACTGTCCCAGGTTAGGGGGAGGGTTGGGATCCCGCTAACATGTTTAACCCCGCCACATTCTGTATGTATGTGCCTGTCCCAAGTCAGGAGCCTGTAATTCAGTGGTTATCGTTTGTTTATGTGTTACATATTTGTTTTTCGTTCATTTTTGGTACATTAATTAGGCCATTAGTTTTCTCGTTTGAATTGTTTTACATTGTCATTTCAGGGCCTTTTATAGCTGACTGTGCGGTATGAGCTTTGTTCATTGTTGAAGGCCGTACGGTGACCTATAATTGTTACTTTCTGTGTCATTTGGTCTCTTGTGGAGAGTTGTCTCATTGGCAATCATACCACATCTTCTTTCTTATATTCATGGTAATTAGCAGCTTCATGTGGGATGCATAAAATCATTAATTTTGTGTTTGATGTTAGTTTAGTTACAAGCAATAACCCTCCTCATACCTCATACATTTTCCAAAAGAAAAATTTCACAAAAACTTGACATTTAGTTACAAATACAATTTTTTTTCTAAATCAATATCTATCACTTCATTCTTTTTTCTACTCCAAATTTGAAGACTTTTTTTTACAATCTAATTGATAAATAAAAGTAATAAATATATAAACCTTCTGTCATCTTACCTTTTGTCGTTTGACATTTCCAAAATTTAAATCTTCCAATTTCCTCTTAGTAGGAACATTTAATATTGAATTTGTACTGCTTCCAATATCTGAACTTGTACCTGCACTCTCAGCACTAATTCTAAAACATTCAAACTTGTCCAAAGTAACTGTATTCTTAACACTGTCTTTGTTTGTTACAAGTTTCTGAGCTTGTTCAATTATCTGTATATTTTGTCTTCGAGTTACAGGTTTGGTATACACATATTTTTTTACTGGTTTACATGAATTCTCCTTGTCTAATGACAGCACGTCATTTTTCGGAGTAGTCTGAGAGCTTTCATCAGATTTGACCTTAACATGAGTAGAATGAAATTGGCCTGGTATTGGCTTGCATAAATCTTTTGTACTTGCAAAGATTCCCCAATCCTGGTTAATGTTGTTGCCCTCACTATTGCACTGTTTAGCACTTATCTGTTGATCATTTGGAACCACTGTGGATATTTCTTTTGAACCAGCATCATTCTGAGTAGGCAATACACTGGCCAAACAGAAAGCACTAGTTTGAACCATTGAGTAAACAGGACTGAAATCCTCTGTACCTGATGAACTTGAATGACCAGAAGTTGTTTGGGATTGTAATGGTTTTATAGGAATTTGATGAGTATTTATGGATTTTGTAATAACTGTCTTATCTTTTTCATTAGATTTTATGGCTAGATTAGATCCTGCTGTATCCTGATTTTTGTAACAACTGTCTTTGGAATCAGATAATGGCTTCACTACAGTTAAGTTTCTATTCAACCTCATCCTTGTTCTCCTTGGTGAGATGACCATATTGCAGGAAGAATTCTCTAAAGATTGCTTTGAATCAGATGTTAATCTGCCTGACACAGTTTTAATCATACTTTGAGACAGACCAGCTGATATACCATCAGAAGACTGATTTGCTATTGGTGTATTTCTGCCTGATCTTCTTCTTATCAAATTACTAGGAGACTGACCGGCTGATATTCCTTCAGAATGATCTGTGTTTGGTGTATTTCTGCCTGATCTTGTTCTAATAAAGTTATGAGGCGACTGACCGGGTGACATTCCTTCAAGAGATTGATCTGTGTTTGGTGTATTTCTGCCTGATCTTGTTCTTATAAAGTTACGTGGTGGCTGACCGGCTGATATTCCTTCAGAAGATTGATCTAAAATTGGTGTATTTCTGCCCGATCTTGTTCGACATGCTGATATTCCTTCAGAAGACTGATCTATGTTTGGTGTATATCTGCCTGATCTTGTACTAATAATGTTACTTGGCGACTGACCTGCTGATATTTCGTCAGGAGACTGATCTGTGTTTGGTGTATTTCTGCCTGATCTTGTTTTAATAAAGTTAAATTGAGAATGAACGAATGATTTTCCGTCAGAAGAATGATCTGAGATTGATGTGCTTCTGCGTGACCTAGTTCTTACAATGGGACTTGGTGATACATCTGCTGGAACCCCTTCTGACAAAGGATTAGAACTTATTATACTTCTTCTAGATCTAGTCTGAACAGCATTCCTTGTATATAATATGGTTTCTGTGGTCTGCTCTGGGGTATTTCTTGTAGACATAGAACTTATACTGCTATTACTTGGCACAACTGTAGACTGATTTACAGTTTCTAGGCTTGAAAAAGTGTTCACAGACTTTATTGGTGTTTTCTGTGGAGAAGGAGTACCACTATGCTTCCCTGTCTGCCTCAAAACAATATCAGAAGCTGAGGATTGAGTTCTTGGAGACTTTTTCAAGGTCACTTGTAACTTGTGCTTAGTTCTTCTGGTGATAGTGTCATGGATGTTTGTTTCATGCTGACTTACTGGTAGAAAACCTAAAATATTATTCAACAATTCAATCAATTAAATCAATGGATTTAATAATATATTAACAGTCTTTGATATAGTCTTAAAATAAATATCATGTAACCTTAATGACAATCAATGAAACATGTAATTGAAGTCAAGGTATAATGAACCCCTGTCAGACAAATCTGTACACCAGACATTGGATTTTAATAAAATTAATGTAGTTCACATATCACCCACAGTATCTGGAAAGATTATCTTAGCAACAAAAACTGTTATTGATCTTTAAACCAAGGCATGTAAGTATTCAACTTACAACATTTCTATTGACCAAATTTAGTTGATGTTTTTCTAAAAACAAATGAGAAACTATTCTCAGTGTTAAAACAAAATAATTTATTTTTGAACAGTGGAAGACTTCTCAACCTTGTGTCACATGTTGGACAGACATGTAACCTTTACAACCATACATAAGACCAAATTTACTTGATTTACTCCTCATTATACACAAGAAACTGACCTAAAAGCAAAAACTGAATGTTGAACATCGAACCTTGTGTTGATGGTTGTGTTTAACACCACTGTCAGCACTATTGGCTATATCGTGGCAATCAGTTTTTACAGATGGGGAAATCAGCCTTGTAGAGGATACGGTTGTGTGACCCATTTCAAGCAGACATATACATTTTACAATACAACAATACACATTACCTCCATTTGTCTGCCATGACTGGAAATCACAAATGTTCCCTTAAAATTTTAATGCCATGGTGGAAATTTAAAGAAACAAAGAACAGCGATATTGTATGACTGTAAAGTCAATAGTTCAGTACCGAAAAATCTTAAACAAAACAATAATTTGGCATATTAAAACTCAACATGTGAACATTCGGTAAGTGCCTGTCTCACATCAGGAGCCTGTAATTCAGTGGTTGTCTTTGGTCGTTGTCTATCATATTTGTTTTTGTTTGTTTTGAATATAAATCAGGCAATTGGATTCTCGTTTGAATTGTTTTACATTTTGCCATGTCAGGACCTTTTATAGCTTACTATATAGTATGGGTTATATTTGTTTTAGAAGGCTGAATAGTGATCTTGAGTTGCTTACATCTATATCATTTCGTCTCTGGTGGATAGTTGTCTCATTGACAATCATACCACAAATTAAACGTAAACTACCTTGACATAAAACTTTAACATGATAGTGGAAAAACAAACCGATTGAAGGACGCAGAAAAAGGTAAACATAATTCCCCTATGATTGTTGGCTTTGCATAAAACAAATCTTTATAAAATTTCGCTTTGATTTTAATCTGAAAAATATTAGAACAATAAATTTTTTTTCAGTGGTCAAAAATTAAATGTCCCAACACTTTTTAGTATGGGCGTAAACATGGTATTTACAATATTAAATTATTTTTGTACCCAGTAGTTGAAAACAACAACAACACTTTATTTTAAGAGGGTTAAGAGGGTTACACAGTTACTGTAACATGATCTAAATTTACCCAGATTATTTGTTGTACTGAGATATTGAGGCACTTCCTGGCTGCTGTACAGGGTGTCCGTCTGTTGGCTGCAGTTTATATCCATTGAAACATCAGGGTCTGCACCATCAGCACTTGGTTGTACTAGATAGTCCATAGGGTCTGGTGTTGGATCCTACATAATCATTGTAAATAAACAATTAAAAATTAACAGGGGGAAGACATATATAAAATATTTTTTTTATTCACTTACTTAAACTAGAGGCTCTCAAGAGCCTGTATTGCTCACCTGATTCTACTTTGGTTTTGGAAGTCATGTAAAAATAGATTAAAATTATAACAGATACCCTAATAATGAGTGAGGCCAAATTTAGTTTAATATTGGTCCTGTAATTTAATAAAAAATCCTGGTGGCCATCTTGAACAGTAAATCGGCAACAAAGTAGCAACACTTTATCAGCACCTCATAAGAAACATTTATGCCATGTTTTGGTTTCATTCCATTCAGTGCACCTCTAGAAGAAGCATTTGTATGTATTTCCCATAGGGTCTTATGTTAAAGGAAGTCCCCCCATTGGCAGCCATCATGGATGAAGGATCAGCTTCAAAGTAACAAAACTTAGTCAGCACCTCATTAGGAACATTCATGCCATGTTTGGTTTCAATCCATTCAGTATGTGGTTCTCTAAAAGAAGACATTTGTATGTATTGTCCATAGGGTCCTTTGTTAAACATTGTCCCCATCTGGCGGCCATCATGGATGAAGGATCAGCTTCAAAGTAACAATACTTGGTCAGCACCTCAAAAGGAACATGCATGCCATGTTTGGTTTCATTCCATTCAATGGTTCTCTAAAAGAAAACATTTGTATGTATTTCTCATAGGGTCCTATGTTAAATTAAGTCCTCCGCTGGCGGCCATCTTAGATTATGGATCGGCTTCATAGTAACAACACTTGGTCAGCACCTCATAAGGAACATTCATGCCATGTTTGGTTTCATTGCATTCAGTGGTTCTCTAAAAGAAGACATTTGTATGTATTTCCCATAGGGTCCTATGTTAAACTAAGTCCCCCGCTGGCGGCCATCTTGGATGATGGATCCGCTACAAAGTAACAACACTTGGTCAGTACCTCATAAGGAACATTCATGCCATGTTTGGTTTCATTCCATTCAGTGGTTCTCTAGAAGAAGTTCAAAATGTAAAAAGTTAACAACGACGACGGAGTCCGACAACGACCCTTCGGGTCAGGTGAGCTAAAAATGCTACAGGTAAGAAGATTATTTTTTTAAACTAACATCATAAAACTCCACAGTTTCTTATGTTAACCAAATGAAACTAGAGGCTCTCAAGAGCCTGTGTCGCTCACCTGATTCTACTTTGGTTTTGGAAATCATGTTAAAATAGATTAAAATCATAACAGATACCCTAATAGTGAGGCCAAATTTGGTTTAATATTGGCCCTGTAATTTAATAAAAAATCCTGGTGGCCATCTTGAACAGTAAATCAGCAACAAAGTAGCAACACTTCATCAGCACCTCATAAGAAACATTTATGCCATGTTTGGTTTCATTCCATTCAGTGCACCTCTAGAAGAAGCATTTGTATGTATTTCCAATAGGGTCTTATGTTAAAGGAAGTCCCCCCACTGGCGGCCACCATGGATAAAGGATCAGCTTCAAAGTAACAACACTTAGTTAGCACCTCATAAGGAACATTCATGCCATTTTTGGTTTCAATCCATTCATTGGTTCTCTAAAAGAAGACATTTCATATATTTCCAATAGGGTCCTATGTTAAACTGAGTCCCCATCTGGCGGCCATCTTGGATGATGGATCAGCTTCAAAGTAACAACACTTGGTCAGCACCTCAAAAGGAACATTCATGCCATGTTTGGTTTCATTCCATACAGTGGTTCTTTAAAAGAAGACATTTGTATGTATTTCCCATAGGGTCCTATGTTAAACGAAGTCCCCCGCTGGCGGCCATCTTGGATGATGGATCGGCTTCAAAGTAACAACACTTGGTCAGCACCTCATAAAGAACATTCATGCCATGTTTGGTTTCATTCCATTCTGTGGTTCTCTAAAAGAAGACATTTGTATGTATTTCCCATAGGGTCCTATGTTAAATAAGTCCCCCGCTGGCGGCCATCTTGGATAAAGGATCGGCTTCATAGTAACAACACTTGGTCAACACCTCATAAGAAACATTCATGCCATGTTTGGTTTCATTCCATTCAGTGGTTCTCTAAAAGAAGACATTTGTATGTATTTCCCATAGGGTCCTATGTTAAATTAAGTCCCCTGCTGGCGGCCATCTTGGATGATGTATCGGCTTCAAAGTAACAACACTTGGTCAGCACCTCATAAGGAACATTCATGCCATGTTTGGTTTCATTCAATTCAGTGGTTCTCTAGAAGAAGTTCAAAATGTAAAAAGTTAACGACGACGACGGACGACGGACGCCAAGTGATGAGAAAAGCTCACTTGGCCCTTCGGGCCAGGTGAGCTAACAAAAATAAAAGCTAAATCAAATGATTTTACTAAAAAAGCCTTCCAACATATAATAATATGTATATGTTACAGGTATTTTCTAAATTTAGGCATTTTACATAATGACTAATTTTTCTAGCATTAAAATGTCTGGAAAAATTGAAAGGCATTTTACAAAATGCCTGAAATTATTTTATAGAATGAAATGTTAAAAAAACAATTGAAAGCTTTGAACAACAGAGCAGTTTTATTGATGATAATCACTGATTGTTAAAGCTTGCAATTTAAGAGTTTTAATAATCAAATCTAAGTTTTACAGACTTATTCCAAATTCACACAAGCACAGAACTCGACAATTATTTGTTATTTCTTAAAATGTTTTTGAATGACAGAACTGTTACACAATATTTGTCCTAATTTTTTGCAAATGCATTGTTTGGCGTAAAATCTGGTTTTAGCACTTCAACCTCATTTGGAGAAACCTGGATCATGACACATTTAGCACTTTCATTGCCTTTTCTGCATGATAAAACACTTAAAGTTTGACAACATTGGGTTTGGCAATAAGCACACACGTCACACATGAATATCTTCTTTTTCATATGTTCCCAAAAGATTCATAGTACATTATCATGATTAATTTAACTTGTACCTTTTGGCTTATAGCTTTTAACGGACTGAAGCAGATCTGCCCATGACAGGTGATGCATCTATAGCAGGAGACACTTACCCTGTCAATGCACCGTTATTTGTCTCTTCTTGATCAATTTTCGAGATTTTAACCACAGTTAACTACTGTCTCATTAATTCATCAGATTGCAAAGACCCATGAATTTCCTTGAGGTACTTCCTTCGTGAAGACGAAGATACTCATATCTTTGCATCACAACCAAACATGGCCTTGTATGGCGAAAACCAATGCCATAGAGAGGAATTTGTTTGGATGTGAATGTATAAATTCTCATTCTTTCTGAATGGGGACATTTAATATATTGCCGCATGTTAGTAAAGTGCAACACTCTCTGCAGGTTAAGAACTCTTTGACCGTTCTGCAGGTGGAATTTTCTGTCCCTATCCAAAATACCTTCATTTCAAGCAGCAGTCAAATTCCTGTCCTTTATCCAGGTTAATCCACTGCAGAAATGACCCATATGATGTATAACCAAATCTTTCTCGTCTTAAAAATGCATGAAATATTTGCTACTGAAAGCAAACAAACCAACCAGTCAATTAAAACAAACTTCTTTTTCTCTGCTTCATATGTTTCACTTCACTGTTTTGAATCTGGATTTTCTAAAAATTCGTTGTTAAAATTTTGTTCTATAAAAAGAACAATTTGCCCTTCTGCCATTTTGACAAAATAATCATAAATTTACTATCTAAAAATACAGAATGAGTATTTACTTAACATAGTTTCACTAAAACGAACATATCATATGACATACAAACTTTCCCAGCTGGTTTTTGAAGAATAAATTTATTCTACCGAACCATTAGTTATTTTCTTTGCAAGATGTTTTTGTCATATGCATATCAATGATATCCTTTTTCCACATATTGGCTGAAACTGAACAGGCAATTTGTTGAATTTTGTTTCAAAATTTCAGTCATTTTATATAATGCCTGTCAAGGTTAGGCATTTTATAAATTGCCTGAAAATTCAGTCATTTTACAAAATGCCTTAATTTAGAAAATGCCTGTAACATATATAAATGCTTCTCCTGAATCACATGGTTTATATGTACTTATATCATATGCAGTAAATCTACATTCTTTTAAATTGAGCATATCATAACATTTAATATTCAGGCTAAAAAAAAAAAAAAACAAACATGAAAGATTATTCAATAATGATTAAAAGTTAAAAGGATTAGTCATATCTTTAAAAGAATGTTTTTTTTCCTAGTACTTCGGTATGATTATTTTCATACAAAAGCTAAATCCATATAATGTCAAAAACCTAAATTTTCCCAAAATTAGATTTAAAAGACAAACCCCACCCTTACCAAGAAAATTTCAGATATGTAATAAATAAAATAAGGAACATAAAATTTCAAAATATATGACTGTATATGGCTACCTAAACTACATTAAAAACCTGTCAATTATTATTTCTTATTGGAAAATGTTATCAATTTAACACTGTATATATTTGAATATTGTTTTTATCAGTACTAACATTTACTGTGTTATTTATGAATCAAAACATAACTAAATATATATTCCTATAACACTTATGGTCCTAAATCATGTCTATACTTATATTTGGCATTGCACAAGATCATGTTTTTCTCAGTTTAGGAAATTTTACACTAAATCCATTGGATGTGTACTAATTGAATTGAATCTGGGGAAATGTGATTTATTTTTTAGTTGTCATTGGCCTTCAACCAGCTTTCAATATCTGCGAGTACACTTAGATTGGTACTTTGTGTCTTAAGTCTTTTTGTTAGTTGTTTCGTTTGTTTCATGTGGATCTGATGAATGAAGTCTTTTACAGCTGGTTTTAATAGTTTGTATTTGAGTTATGTTGTTACACCACTGTCCCAGGTAAGGGGAAGGATTGATTGCTCTCTAAAATGTTCAACCCCGCCACATTCTAATGTGCCTGTCCAAGTCAGGAGCCAGTAATACAGTGGTTGTCGTTGGTCCCTGTCTGTATGTGCCTGTCCCAAGTAAGGAGCCAGTAATACAGTGGTTGTCGTTGGTCGCTGTCTGTATGTGCCTATCCCAAGTCAGGAGCCAGTAATACAGTGGTTGTCGTTGGTCGCTGTCCCAAGTCAGGAGCCAGTAATACAGTGGTTGTCGTTGGTTGCTGTCTGTATGTGCCTGTCCCAAGTCAGGAGCCAGTAATACAGTGGTTGTCGTTGGTCACTGTCTGTATGTGCCTGTCCCAAGTCTGGAGCCAGTAATACAGTGGTTGTCGTTGGTCGCTGTCTGTATGTGCCTGTCCCAAGTCAGGAGCCAGTAATACAGTGGTTGTCGTTGGTCGCTGTCTGTATGTGCCTGTCCCAAGTCAGGAGCCAGTAATACAGTGGTTGTCGTTGGTCGATGTCCCAAGTCAGGAGCCAGTAATACAGTGGTTGTCGTTGGTCGCTGTCTGTATGTGCCTGTCCCAAGTCAGGAGTCAGTAATACAGTGGTTGTCGTTGGTCGCTGTCCCAAGTCAGGAGCCAGTAATACAGTGGTTGTCGTTGGTTGCTGCTGTATGTGCCTGTCCCAAGTCAGGAGCCAGTAATACAGTGGTTGTCGTTGGTCGAAGTCTGTATGTGCCTGTCCCAAGTCAGGAGCCAGTAATACAGTGGTTGTAGTTGGTCGCTGTCTGTATGTGCCTGTCCCAAGTCAGGAGCCAGTAATACAGTGGTTGTCGTTGGTCGCTGTCCCAAGTCAGGAGCCAGTAATACAGTGGTTGTCGTTGGTCGCTGTCTGTATGTGCCTGTCCCAAGTCAGGAGCCAGTAATACAGTGGTTGTCGTTGGTTGCTGTCTGTATGTGCCTGTCCCAAGTCAGGAGCCAGTAATACAGTTGTTGTCGTTGGTCGCTGTCCCAAGTCAGGAGCCAGTAATACAGTGGTTGTCGTTGGTCGCTGTCTGTATGTGCCTGTCCCAAGTCAGGAGCCAGTAATACAGTGGTTGTCGTTGGTCGCTGTCCCAAGTCAGTAGCCAGTAATACAGTGGTTGTCGTTGGTCGCTGACTATTATATTTTATCTATTTTACATTCACCATTTTGTACATAAATTAGGCTGTTGGTTTTTTCGTTTCAATTGTTTTACATTTAGTCATGTCAGGGCTTTTTATTGCTAACTAATATATATGGTATTGGTTTTGATCCTAGTTGAAGCCATACAGTGACCTAAAGTTGGTTACAACTATGTCATTTGGTCTTTGGTGGTTAATTAATTGTCTGCTTGGCAATCATAACACATCTTCTTATTTTATAAAGCAATTTCAAGCAATTACTAAACTTTATTTACCTTAACAAGGTAATCCCCAATATATTCAGGTCTCAAACACAGGATACCATATTCAACCAGATGGAGTAGACTTGCTGCTGTTTTCTCACTTACAAATATGTAAGTTAATGTTTTTGCTACTTTTGCTATATCTTTGACAGGTAAATTCAGGTTATACACTTTGGCTCCTCCACAAGCCAGCAATCTACAATGTAAAACAGCCATAAACTTCTGACTCACAAGAAAAATAAATGTTCACTTGCCAATGGCCAGTAGGCCAGCGCTCAAGTTTGACACAGACTAAATATTCATATACCAAATCAATAGGTATACATGTACATAAAATTCCTGTTTTTTTTTACAACTTAGAATGCAATTAAAAGAACTTGAATTGCAATTCTAGTTTAACACAAGGAAAATTATTGAGAAATCAAGGTTCATAATGGGTAGCTACATCGGGACGCAAAAAGCGTGACCTAACAAGGCAGGTTTTTGTTTAATAGAGGTGACCTTTACAGCAGGTTTGACTGTATATGATTGCATGTCACATAGTATCTAAGAACTAAATTAAGATGTAAAACATAGTCACAGTGTTAAATGTAGGCAAGCATGACCTAATTTTGATGAAAGGCTATTACATTCCCCTAAATACACCTGTACATGTTATGATTGTAGGTCACTTTTTGTCTTATAAATTAGTTCAAAACCAGTACCTCAATGGTCTACCAGAACACACAATTATAAACATGTATATTATTCTAACTGTGGATGTGGATGTAGACAGAGGCCATGAGTACAATGTGAATACTTGAGGCAAGGAAAAAATGTTCGGCTATACCAACTATTGAATGAGTTTGTTTTATTTTTCACCTTCTAATACTACAAGGTAAATGGCCTACTTCCATGACTTCTTTCACATTTATCTGTCTATGTTGTACTTTCATATTAATATGTATAAAGAACTATAAGTACATCTAGGGAAATTTGTAAGTAAATTATATTTTCCTGGTTAAAAACTCTGTGAGCATATAAATTTTGGGTTGAGGTTTGCAAGTGTACAAAACAATATTGTGTCATTCTATAGGCCCTTGACAATACTGAGTAGTAAATCATTTGATTTTTGGTTATTTTCAAGTAGAAAACGTACGTAACAACTAAGCTACAAACCTTCTATAGACATATCTTTTCTTGGGATCTGAAACAACAACAGCCACATTCCAGTCACTGAAGGCTAGTGTTTGAAACACTTCCAAGTTAAAGCGCCATCTACTTCCTGCAGTCCTCATGTCTAGTGAAACACTGGGTTCATTGTAGTTGCTCCATTCAAATAATTCTTCTTGCATCCATTGTCCTTGTTCTGCTGACCTACTTATGAAATTTGGATGCAAAACCCATTTTCCCATAGCACAGGCACCCAAAAATTTCTCACTGCGACTTAATTTTCCACAAACAACATGAGTGCAATTTTGCTGGAAACTCTACAAAAAAGTAACCTCATCATTGTTCATTAAATATTTGTGCATTGAAACCTGTCTAAACCAAAATCTCTTTGGGGCTTCGGATTTTGTTGCATAAAATTTGATATGACTGGACTTAATAACATGTTTGGTTTAGACAGGTTTTCGGTTTATGCAAGATTCAGTTAAGACAGATTTCACTGTATTTTCCTTATGTTTTTTTTTCAACTGTCAAACCTTTTTTATATAGTCTTCGCTCATATTTACAAGCATTCTGTGTAGGTTTTTTTTATAGGGCCATTGATATACAATGTACTCTGATACATGTATCTCAGTGCCCTGTATGAACAAAGAAAACATAATGTTAAACAATGCACCTAGAAATAAGTCAAGCCCTGTCATACAAACATGTGCCCCTAACAATAGTTCATTAAACAAATTATAATCTGTGAATAAAAGAATATGTGGGGTGTACTTCAATGAGACAGCAACCCAAAAACAACAAAAATTGAATGATATCTAGAGGGCAACATACAGTCCTTAACAATAGACTGGCATCCATACAATATGTCAAGCTCTGAACATACATCTATCTGATAATCACATACATGAAGTAATACAATCACCAAATAGATACCAGACTTAGCTTATTTCTAAAAGTAAACAAGAATTTAATTCACATAACTTCAGTCCTATCCATTAATTACAAAGTCCCTGGCAAACTGACAGATTAAGATTTTGGACAAAGTATAAATTAGGAAATCACGTAAATTGTTTTGTGAATTATATCTATTTTCAAAACATTTGACAAGACTTACATCTGCATTTAAATATAACCCTCCCAGTTCTTGTATTAAAGTTGAGAGTACCTTCCTCTCTTCATTATCTATACCAGACAATAGGAAGATCTTACTGTTCTGGAGACGGGTTCTTCCACAAGCCATATCTCTGTAAGTGAAATGTACACACATTATAAATGTTCATAATCTATACTGCCCCAAAGCTGGCCAACTGGTGCAAAAAACACCAACAATTTTGCAAAATTTCGTCCTATTTCTTGACCTGCTAAGACCCAGGGATGTTGATATTTGTAGATTACTATAGTCTGCATAGAGAGTTTACCCCAGCGAACACATGAACCACAAAAGTGTTTAAGTCTGAGAGAATATGTTTTGGTTACAGCTTTTGATTTTTGGCTTTACCTGGAAGCTGTTGTTACTAAAGCATATTCAAATATAAACACAATCAGAAGGTATATTCCCAATTGTTCATATTTTGTTTTCTACTTTTAAAGTTTAGACAAGTTATTATGGTGTGTTAGACTTTATAGTTCATTGTAAGATTAACAATAAATCAAAGTGATGGAAATCACTCATAGAAATATTAGAAGAGTAGTTTGAATTATTTCAAATAACATTTAAGGGAACGACCATTTAACTTCAAGGGGGGGGGGGGGGGGGGGGGGTTATTGTTTTTTCATATAAAAAATATTATGATCCCCAATTTGATGTTTGATGAATAAAAATTTTGTGGTCAAGCAGATAATAAAAAAAAATATATTCTGAATCCAGATTTTCCCCATACCTTATAGTGTTAAATTTTGAAAAAATGAAAGAACCTTAGTGAGCGCGCTCACATACCCCACGTCCCCACATTGTCATTGGAGAAATAAAATAAGTGTAAGTAAAAAAAATTGTATTAGAAAAAAAAATTGAATCATAATTTCCTGTCAATATGCACATCTACATAGTATGTCCTTATTATCTACACAGTTTCATGAAATTCTGTTGTGTGGTTTGAGAGGAGTTGCGACGACAAAAGGTTGCAGTAGTATATTGGGCAAATAAGTTCAAAGGGGCATAACTCCTGGAAAAAAAATTGAATCGTAATTTCCTGTCGATATGCACATCTACCTAGTATGTCCTTATTATCTGAAAAGGTTTCATGAAATTCTGTTGTGTGGTTTGAGAGGAGTTGCGATGACAAAAGGTTGCAGTAGTATATTGGGCAAATAAGTTCAAAGGGGCGTAACTCCTGGAAAAAAAATTGAATCGTAATTTCCTGTCGATATGCACATCTACGTAGTATGTCCTTATTATCTGAAAAGGTTTCATGAAATTCTGTTGTGTGGTTTGAGAGGAGTTGCGATGACAAAAGGTTGCAGTAGTATATTGGGCAAATAAGTTCAAAGGGGCGTAACTCCTGGAAAAAAAATTGAATCGTAATTTCCTGTCGATATGCACATCTACGTAGTATGTCCTTATTATCTGAAAAGGTTTCATGAAATTCTGTTGTGTGGTTTGAGAGGAGTTGCGATGACAAAAGGTTGCAGTAGTATATTGGGCAAATAAGTTCAAAGGGGCGTAACTCCTGGGAAAAAAATCAAATCGTAATTTCCTGTCGATATGCACATCTACGTAGTATGTCCTTATCATCTGAAAAGGTTTCATGAAATTCTGTTGTGTGGTTTGAGAGGATTTGCGATGACAAAAGGTTGCAGTAGTATATTGGGCAAATAAGTTCAAAGGGGCATAACTCCTGGAAAAAAAATTGAATCGTAATTTCCTGTCGATATGCACATCTACGTAGTATGTCCTTATTATCTGAAAAGGTTTCATGAAATTCTGTTGTGTGGTTTGAGAGGAGTTGCAATGACAAACTGTTGCAGTAGTACATTAAAGTAAATAAGTTCAAAGGGGCGTAACTCCTAGAAAAAGAATTGAATCGTAATTTCCTGTCGATATGCACAACTACATAGTATGTCCTTATTATCTGAAAAGGTTTCGTGAAATTCTGTTGTGTGGTTTGAGAGGAGTTGCGATGACAAGAAACAGGACTGACAGACTGACGGACAGATGGACAAACGGACAGAAGGGTCAAAAACATTATACCCTCCGCAACTCGTTGCGTGGGGTATAATAATTTGATTGATAGCGTCGAAAAACTAAAAAAAATGTTCTGACTCGGACAAAAAACCATACCCCCCCCATGAAGTTAAATGGTTGCTCCCTAAGTATTTTGTGGACAAAAAAGAACATTAATATTGCACTATTGGAGACAATTGCATTTACTACATGTCTTTAGAAGGAAAAGCATTTTTTCAGTAAATAAAATGAGCTATAATGAATCAATGAGAGTGAGTCAACAATTTCGTTTAAATAGCAATTAATATCTTAACCAAATACTTTTCTCTGTTATAACATGTTTCACCTTTTACATCTTTAGAAACAGAAGAAACTAGATATCATTGAGATGGGAGCCATCTCTGTGGGCCCCGCTGTGAATAATGTGTGGTAAAAAATTTGTATCTTTATCATTTGACATGGGGTTGTCAAATGAAACCAAAAGTTTTTGACCTTGACCTTTGACCTAGGAAGTTGTACATAAATTATGACACACCCTCTGGTGTTGGTTTATATACATATCAAGTATAAACTTTGAAATCACAACGGTTCTCAAGATATAGAGCGGACACGATCTTTACCATAGGACATAAGGTTGTCAACTAAAACCAAAGTTTTTGACCTTGACCTTTGACCTAGGAAGTTGAACATAAATTATGACACACCCTCTGGTGTTGGTTAATATACATATCAAGTATAAACTTTGAAATCATAACGGTTCTCAAGATATAGAGCGGACACGATCTTTACCATAGGACATGGGGTTGTCACCTAAAACCAAAGTGTTTGACCTTGACCTTTGACCTAGGAAGTTGTACATACATTATGACACACCCTCTGGTGTTGGTTAATATACATGTCAAGTATAAACTTTGAAATCATAACGGTTCTCTAGATATAGAGCGGACAAGATTTGTTACGGACGGACGGACAGACGGACGGTCAGATCACTATAGGGCTTCCACCATTCGGCGGGGCCCTAATTACAAAATAAAGATTCTTCTAATAAAGTTTATCAATTATCCTTGTAGGACATGAGACCAACAATAGACTTGAAACTGAGATCTTTATTGTCTCAAAAAATTAATCTAAAAAGGTTTTTTTGGGGACATTTTGTAAGTTAAAACATAGGTATAGTATTTTCCTCCTCTGAGAATTGCTTATTGATTATGAAAACTATTATCATGATGATGTGACAATGAAGATTAAAAGTCATAGGGTGTATTTTAATTCAATTTATAATTTACTAGAAGTATTTTCCAGAAAGGGTCTTGAAAATGTACTTTTTCAACATAAACAAATTAAAACTTATTTTATTGAAATGGGGATTCATTCTTCATTTCAAAATTATACTTCCTGTATTCAAATTACTAATATTGTTCAAAGAAATTTGTAAACTAAAAAAAAATATTGGTTTGCTCAGTTAAGTTTTTTGAAATTTAACAATTACAAGCCAATAAGTGTACCCGGTAACCTCAATTATTGAATCATAACAGATGATAATTGCACAAATTTGTCAAGTAAAATATAGACCTTACTTGAATACCTTTTTTTATATTTATATCAAATATTTTGTCTTTTCTTTAGAAAAAAAAGATCTTGTTAATCCTTAATTATTTATCTTTCAGACATAATTTATAAAACCATTTTATGTAGATTAGATCAAAAGTAATAGGCAATAAATAAATCTATCATTTCTATATATCAAACTTTCAATATATACATTTGTGTATTCAATAATAAGGTCAAATATTTGTGTATTGAGATGTATAATGAAGATCTGCTTAATTATGTAAGACTGAGGTTGATTAGTAATTTGGTCAATATGATTGGCATTTAAGGAGGTGGGACATTCTAAGACCCCACCTTATCTCTGATTGTTTGGTAATCATGGCAGTTGTCAATCATGCTGGTAATGTATACGTATCATTACTCCAACGTTACCTTATTAAAATGACAAAACTAGCCTGTAAATTGACAAAACTAAAGACACACATATTCATACATGAATAAACTGCTCCAAAGATATAACCCAAACTTTTCACAGTTCATATGTGCAAATGTACGTAGACATGAGAATTACAGGAAACTATATTTCAGTGTGTATTCATTCTGTAGATTTAGTAGCTAACCTGTGCTTCATCATGTTTGTGAGGCTGGTGTCTTAGGAAAGACTTGGAACAATAGTTCCAATCTTTCCAAAAAGTATCAATGAACAATACAGATGGCAAGAATTACTTGATAACCAGAATTCAATAAAAAAACGTATATTCATAATAATCATTTATTTGCAAATAAATATTATACATGCAGTCAGTAAGATTCATACAATGTACATGTATCCATACAAATTTAATGAATTAAGAACCCAATTGTTGAATTATAGAAAAAGGAGCATTTCTACCTAATTTTTTTTTCTACTGTTTCCTTTACTATTATTCAAGTTGTCATATATATGTTAAATGTCAAATGCTCCACAAAATTAAACTTATTTGCAAATTAAAAGTTTTACCAACAACAAAAACAAGTCTTCAATGTAACAGTGAAACTATCTTCTTTAAAGACAATGCTTGTTTGAGACAGTAAAATCTGTTATAAGTTCATGTAGGCCAAGCAAAAACAACTACAGCATGTACAGTTCTAATTTCCTAGAAAACTGAAGAAAAAAAGAAACAGGAATCAAAGTGTTTATTGTGCACAAATGCCATTTGAATATTTTAAGCACATAATTGGTTCATTTTGCCTTATTCCATTGATGCATGCCATCCTGCACTTACATTTTGTACCCAATTTGATACCATTTATTATTGTGTTGACAGGGGACATGAAGGGTTTGTGAATAATCATTTCAATTAATCTGAAAACACAATTTCTTCCTTTTTGTGTTAATTTGTTTTGGTCAAACAGTGTATAATAAAAGCTCACAACATTCTTTTAATACTAGAATTTGTCTTTAGACATAATTATATACAACTGTGGCCATAAACTGATTTTATGAAAAAAACTTATTCAAAACCCTTATACTTGTTCATCTTTTTTTT